CACACACACACAAACACACCTTCATCATGTTTCTGCACACCATGTGACTTAACACTCAATTGTATGCACTCATCAGCTGGGCTGGCCCATGCATGAAGGGGATGACTTCCACCCGCAGGAGAACATTGAGAAGATGTCTCGTGGTGAACCGCTCACAGACCAGGTCAGGCCAGGTTTGTGTGTGTGTGTGTGTGTGTGTCTGCTAGAGGTGTCTTGTCAGCTCAGACTAAATGTCAGTCATTTATGGAGTGAGCCATTTCTCTTATCTCATGAGTAAATCATTGTTTCAGACTCGCAGCCACAGACTCAAACTCAACAAGTGGCCTGAGGAAGCTTCACTAGAGCAGACAAGTGAAAGCAGCAGGGAGGGAAACTGAGCATTTCATCACAGCCCACAGTCCTTAGGTTCACTAGAGGAATTTATTTTCTTGTTTGTTCAACATTTATCTCCTCTCTGTCCATTTTCACTTTTAAAATAAAGGGGAGAGTTTACACACTTACAGGCAGAGAAGCTGCTGCCAGCATTTGGCAGCAGTTTGCTGGTAGCAGTGTTTGGTGGCTGATGATAACCTCCCACTCAGAAATCTGCTTTGTACGGCAGAGAGAATTACTCTGGGACCTGCTCTGTCCAACGCTTGGCTTGGTGTTTGAGAATGAATGATGAGGCGAAGCAGAAATGTAAATTTGGGATTACTGTGGCAAAAATGTGTCTTTCATGCCAGTATTACAGTTGGCAGGTTGAGGTTGGCATAACCAAACAGGACATGAGAGAATGTGATTCCCCTCATTCGAGTTCAGCTCTTCAAATTAAAGGCACAGCAGTGAGGAAAAATGTGACTCCAATTCAGTTGTAACCAAATTAAGATTCTGTTTCTGATTTCAGTGTAATCAAAGATTTGTTTCTGCTCTTCTCTATCAGTCTGATTCTTGTTTTATTCCCTGATTGTACCTCAAAAGACTCTTTGAGTTCTTTAAACACTCTCCACAGCTTCTGCTGCATTATGCTCACTGCTGCTATGAGTGTACTTAGTTTCCATATGATTTAGTCTTATTTTTAGAGGAGAGGAGGATATTTTTGGTGGATTTATGAAACAACCCTCAGCTTGATGACACAGTTTGGCTTCACAATCGCAGGCTTGGCTCACTCTGCACCTGTCCTGCGTTGCTCTGCAGTACACGACATTCCCCTCTGATGGCCGATGATATGCCGAAACTAAGAGTGTGTTATGTGACCCGCCCAGTTTTATTAAGGGCAAAGCCAGAAGCTGTATTGCACTAGCAACCCCAAAAGTGAGAAGTGTTTTTCTTCGCAGGCAAAATGATCAAATCCTGAAAAAAAGGAAATATAATAAGATTTATTTTCCCATTAAGTAGCATTTAGCGGTATAGTTGCAGATTTCAACTCACTCGCTTTCACCCTCCCTTTCCAAGCGAGGAACTAAGGTGGCCATAAAATGTGTGAAAAACGTGAAATGCCCTATCTAGAGCCAGCTTTTGGTTTGTATGTTCTGGGTGACTGTAGAAACATGGCGGCCTCCATTGAAGGCGACCCACAGTGTCTGTAGACAAAATAACTCATTCGTCACTCTCAGCAGGCAGCTTATTAGTGAAAAACCTCTGAACCCACTGCACACTACCTGCTCAGCTCCAAACACCAGACAGACACAGTTCTCATAAACATAGTTTAAATATCGATCATAAAGATTAAAAACATTTCTTAACTATGATGAAAAAAATGAGCAACAAGCTGTTTTTCTAACCAAAATAAAACCAGTTGTTATGTTTCTCTCTGCAGGACAGATTTCCTTGGCTTCTCAAACTACATGAAGTCATTGAGAGGTAAGAATAAACAAACCTTTTATACACACAGTAATATTATGCTCATGCACACATACACTGAAAACACAACATACTTTTGTAATGACAGAAATGGCCGAGATGATGGGTTTAGAGAGTGAGAGGGAGCTGAAGAGCAGAGGAGCGAAGTAAGGATATGCGGGCGTGAAATTGTCGAAAAAAGATCAGAAATATCAAAGATGGTTTTGAAAATTGACATGAAAACCAGAGAGCGAGGAAAGGGAGAGTAAAGACAGATTAAGTGACTGAGAAAAGAGGTGAGGGAGCGCTGAAAAGTATGCCATCACTTTCTTAAAACGTCTGCGGCAGCATCAAAGACTTCTTTTCCTAAACTCTTCTACGCACAGTCACACTTATTTCTCTCTATCAGCTCATCCATGTGTCCCTTCTTTTCTCTTCACCTCCTGCTTCTCTCTAGCTGTCTGTCGCCAGAGTTCACTTTAAGTTTTTTTAGTTTGTTTCATTACTGCTTTTAACATTTTTATTGTTATCCACACAACATTTCAGTCTAACTATGTGAACGTGTGTGTTTTTCCATCTCAGAGAAAGGTGTTCAGGCTCCGATGCTCTTGTGGTCTGCTCCGCCCTAAAGCGCCTGTACAGACAGATCCTGCTCTATGGCTCCAAAGCTCTCTCTTCCTCTTCCGGCCTAGACGAAGATGTCCTGCCTCCCTCCTGTCCCGATGTCTTTTTCCTCTTCCTGCATGGTGACTACGATCTCCTTCACCAGAGGATGGTGGCCCGGAGGGGACATTACATGGGAGCAAACCTGCTGCGTTCCCAGTTTGATGTTTTAGAGCCTCCACTGGATGAGGAGAACGTGTTGCCTCTGGACATCAGGAGGAGCATCAGTGATATGGCCACGGAGGTCGAGCAGCACGTCATGAGTCTCAAGTCGTCACCGATGCCTTGACCACCGCTGCAGATCAAACGAGAGAGAGAAATCATCCGTTTTTAGCCATTCTAGGGGTGGTTAGTAAGTCGGTCCACCACTCTGGTCCAAACTAAAATATCTCAACAATTATCAGATGGATTTCCATGAAATTTGCTGCAGATATTCAGTGTCCCTGCAGGACCCGTTCCATGATCCCCTGACTTTTCCCGTAGTGCCACCTGCAGCTCAGAGTTTTCACTTATCCTGTGATACATCTCAACATCTATCTGATAGTTTGGAACTAATTTCGTACAAACATTCAGGGTCCCCACAGAGTGAATTGTAATAACCCCATAATGCCCTCACCTTTCATTTAGCACAGGGGTCGACAATCTTTTTGATATAAAGTGCCATTTTTTGATTTTCTTGTTAACCAGTGTGCAATATAAACATTAAGATTAACATTAAGTTTAATTTTGACACAATTTCAGTCCATCCGTATAGGCAACATGCATAGCAACATTTAATAATAAGGACATTGTAATTATATATAGGAGCACTATACAAGAAGGCTACCATCCTTATGAAAATGTACACATCTGAGTTAAGATCACACATACAGCCATGAGACGGAGCGCAACTGTCAATGGCTGCGAAAGAGGTAATTTGGCATGCAGGTAAGAGGGTATTAAAAAAAACCTTTTGCTAGTGCTCCATTCGTTAAGCTGCGTGCCTTCCTGAGGTTGCTGACCCCTGATCTAGCAGCATCGTCAGGTCAATTTATAATTTGTCCAGTACTTTGGTTTATGACCAAATACTAATGACATTCCCATCATCCTCAGCTGTAATTTGTGTTTAGTGCTAATTAGCAAATGTCAGCATGTTAACACACCTAATTAAGAGGTTATGAACACGGTCCACATCAGTATGATAGTATTGCTATTGTTTGCATGCAAATGTTAACTAGTTAACCTTTAGCTCAAAGCACCACTGTGCCTATTGTAAGTTGAGCTTCACAGAGCTGCTAGCATGACCATAGACTTTTAATCTTGTTATGATCCGCCATATCCAGTTTATATCTTAGTGAAGGTGAGAAATAAAGCATTGTCCCAGCTGTGGTGCAAAACCACAGAGATACTAGACAGTAGTGGGATATTTGGTTTGATCTATTGCTGCTTCAGTGCAGAATCATCCTGTGGTGAATTTGATTCTGAAAACTGCAGCAAACATTTTAAAACACAGTTGAAGTGCCATTCCAGTTAATGCTGCAGAGTATTTGATATTGTTTTTTTTTCTGAATAAGACCTGAACCTCCAATAGTATGCAACAAAGAAAAAGACTAAATGTTCACAGGATAGTATATTAACTCTTAGTGAACTGGATTGTGGTAGCGTTGTAAAAGCTGGCACTTTGAAGATTTAACGTTGGTGAAAATTTTTTACGTATTTGGTTACATGGCTATGACAGACACGTAACATTTACAGGGGAAATTTGACTTTGTAATCACAGTTGCATTACAGCTGGAATATGAAATGAAGATTGACTGATGATGGTTTTGGTTGAATATTTTATACCTCAAGTTTTGGAATCCTGTGTTTAATATTTTATTTTTCTTTGGCATTAATATTTAAATGTTTGCATCATGTGCTGACATTCAAAGGCCCAAAACCCAAACGTATTCAGCTGACAGTCACGTTAGACAAAGAAGAGCAGCAAATCCTCACAATACAGAAGCTGGGTCGATTCAATCAATCAATCAATTAGCAAATGGTTTCAGCTCTACAGGGGAATCCATTCATATTTCAGAAAATAATACTTTTTTTTAAATCACAGAAATGTTTACTTTAATTTATACAGTTAAGGTTTAATTTGGTTTAGAAGATACACTTAGCTGGTGGACAGCAGACTCCAGAGCCTGTGGAAACTATAATGATTGACAAATTCTACTTTATTTTTTTGTTTCCGATGACTCCAGATGATCTTTGTTGGGGATCTTGTTTTCCCTTCAGAATTACAGGTTTCTCTAATCTGCTCTTGAATAGATTTTAAAAAATCTAAGCTGCTTTGCTGGAGTTCCTGACAACTTAGCATCAGTAAATGGATTAGTTTAGCTGCTATTGCAAATCATGTTTTTGTATCATTTGATCTGTCAAACCATCTTTCATGCACTGACATCACCTGCCAAATGCACCAACAAATCTTAAAGTACAATCTTCACACTGAATAAAGTAAAACGATTAAAGGGATTTAGATTGAACACCTTGCTGATACACACTGCTGTGAGGCAGATTTAGCTCGTCTGACAATTGGCTGTTGACATACTAAAGGTCAGATCAGGTATATCTGTGTGATCCCCTTTTTTTTTTGATGTATAAGCATCTTCAGAAGACACACACACACACACACTTACAGGTGACCATGAACTCCCCATACTCTCTACTGAACACACACCACCTCCACTCAGCACTGTAGAGCTGTTTTTGTGGTGTGACTCATCTCATAACCTCAACCCGAATATTTTAGGAGCTTCTAATCCAGAAAAACCCCCTGGCTACTCTCATATCTCACACATCCAGATGAACGGCTGCACACACTCTGCAACACGCACATACACACCACCAGAGATTAAAACCCCCTCAGTCTGGCAGCAACAGAGAGACACACACAGGTTGTCAAGTGGATCACATACACATGTGATCTGATGCTGAAGTATGCGTCCAGTGTGTCAGTTAATCCACTCGGTCTCTGAGAGCGAGGACACAAAAGCAGGAATGGAAAACTGTGCAACCCTCACACACACACACGCATCCTATTATGTACTTGAATAGGCAGCTGAAAATCACTATTAAATATGACTTTGAGCTTGTTTGGTGTTACTTTATACAAAATAAATGACAATTTTGCCAGTTGGTATGTCATTTTTAATGTTTAACACTCAGGATCAAAAATATTTTGTGCCAGCATAATTCCTGCAATACAAACCAAAAGAGCTGATATTAGTGATGAGGTTAAGTATTAACTGCCCTCTAGTGTTCATAGTTGAGTAGAGTAAGTAGTACATAGAATAGCATGGGAAAATACCTACTTAAACAGTCTAATTTGAACTAATTTCAATGAGTAAAGATTTTTCTCTCAAATTTAGTAAAATGTGTGGTGGATTATATGTATAAATATAGTTACACTGTTTGTAATTATATAGTAAATTACTGTTTTTATCGGTCAGAGATGTGCAATCAGTTTGTGTGTGACTTTCATGAGGTGATGCTTGTGGTTGCTACACCAACTCTAAGTGCATTACATGTCTTCAGCTTCTCAGATGTGAGGATTTACTGCGTTTCTCTGTTTAATATTTTTGTAAATTGAACATTTTGGACTTTTTGGAGTTAAACAAAACAAGCATCTTGAAGATGCCATGTTAGCCTCTGGGAAGTTGTGATATATATTCTCCCCTATTTTCTGACATATTAGACTAAATTAATAATGTACTAATTATAAAAGAAAAACAATCCACAGATTAATTGTTAATGAAAATAATTACTTGAAGCAGCCACTACTACTTTTCACAGAACAGCTGTTAACATTACAATGACCAGTTAGGGAACTTGACGTGTGTCACAAAGCAGGACATCATCATAAATTCATGTGAAATGACAAACAGTGCATACATATATGATTGAGGGACAACAGGATTATGTTAACTGACACAAAAAGTAAATAACAGAATAATATTCAACAGTTTTTTATGATTACATCAGATCCACAAGTCAGCTAGATGAGTGGAAGTATGTTGCTCAGTCAGTTGTTTAGTGAAATCCATAGGGACACAAAATGCAGCCACTCCCTATGGCACGAAAGCACTGTAGCGTTGTGTATTTACTGGAGCACCTCGGAATACAAGCTTCAGGAATGAACAACAAATCCCTGGAATTACTAGTCAGGGCAGTGAAAAGATAGTTAGGCACAAAGGGTCAAAGTGTTTCTAAGAGCAGCCTCACCAGTGTAAAGTAAATCATCATAATCATCAGCATAGGTTGTGTTGGATGTTTCAAAAGGCCTAAAATCCTTTTCTCTCAGTTTGGGACTCAAATCCATTTTTTTTACGCCTGATGTGATTCTCCTCCGGGGAGAGTGTGGAGAGAAGATTAACTGTGCAAATCAGAGTTTATGTGCCTGTGTGGCCTTGAGATAAACACTGACATTCAAGCATTTTTTTTTGCTTTGCACAAAGTCAACCTTTCCATTTAAAATTCATATTTTGGAGCTGAGTCTACCTTTGAATACAAACTTCATAGTTATCTGGTGTGTCTGATCTCTACAGTCTGTGTCGGACAAGACACAAGAGCAGTAAGGGAGAGCGGGAACAGCACACAACGGACTGTGCACCTGGTTCAATCTGTTGACTGAGACAGAGGGTGTGAATCCTCCGTGTGCTTCCAGGACATCAGACTGTCTCTGGGTGTTACAAGCTTTCATTCTTGTCCAGGTGGCCAGATGAAAAGATGCCTGAGCTTCGTTGCACAGAGATTAATAATACATGACCTGCTTCTGAATATGTATACTACAAGTCTACATATGTGAGGTGGATTTCAGTACCTTTACAGGCCCTGTGCCAGTACATGTCACCGACAGAGTGAAAGTGTTTCTACTCTAATATTAACATAAAGCACTCATTCTGGAAGGACAAGAGGGAAGGAAGTCCTCCTACTGTATATGTGTATGTTTTCTTATTTCTCACAGCAAAGGCTTAACCATCTGTACAGCATTCGGCACCCAATAAAAAGGAGAAGTGTACTAGGGTAAGAGTGACTGAATATAATGTACTAGTGCAGACAGAGATTAGTGTGGGAAGTTAAGGAATGAAGTATGTAAGTAAGTGTGTCTTTGAAAGTGCAACAATATACATATTGTCTCCTGTATTGGTTTATTTGTAAAGCACTTTGTAATCATTCATAATTTTATTATTATTATTATGTTTGAGTGTAAGTGCTTACATGTAAATGTCAGTACACGTGCATTCATTCACTCGTGTATTTATGTGTGCACGTATCAACATGTGTGCGTCAGAGACTGAGCAGATGTTGTACAGCAGTGGTGAGATCTCCTCCTGTGCTGATGAGGGCCTGAAGGTTTGCCTGTCTGTCTCTGAAGCCCATTGAGCTCAGCTGCTCTAGCTCCTCCTGGAACTCCTCGCCATGGACCTGACAGGACATGACAGGAGAGTTATTTAAAGCCTTGCCTAGTATAATAACACAATCAAACAGAGTTAGTGAACAGGTGTTGTGCCTCTGGGAGAGAAAACGTGCTGTAAAGTTTGACAAAACATCACTCGTGTCTCCTAACCTGTCATTCAACCTTTTTTAAAGATACAATATGTAACATTTCTGCATTAAAATGTCTAAAATACTAGACCGATGTTATATTTTTTCTTGAGTTGTGTTCTAACATTATCCCAACAATGTTAAAACCCAGAGAATCTGAAATTTTATTCAGGTAACGGTGTGTTTCTCCTGTCATATCCCCTTTGAGCTCTCATAAATTGTCTTTTTATCCAGTTTTCAATCACATTTTTATGACACACTTTTTTAGATCTTGTTCATTGTTAACTATATATTTAACTGGATGAAGATTTTGGTCATTAATGTGAAAGAGCCCCTAACAGCCGAAATTACGTACTGTACATTTAAATAAATGAGAAAAATGAAACAAACTTAAATATATTCAATAAATAAGATTGAATCTTGACAAGAAATGTGTTCACAGCATACTTACTGTAGTTTCGTATAGATGCATGTGGGGACAACAGGTGGCAACACTTGATTCCTGTTCTAGTTGTGTGACTTTAAAGAGAATCTCAACACTAGATGGAAGGAAAACAAAGCTGCACTGTCCTCTATAGGTTGAAAGGTAGGTGTCACACCACAATCAGTGAAAGCAGGATTATTAGACTGAGTGAAGTTACTCTCTAAGTGGGATACTGTTGCTGGGGTACTCATAAGTTCAATATTGGTGACATGTATCCTATACTTGTCTTTTATGATAATAATAATAAGTATGTACCGGTTGATATTTTAAATTAAGGAGTAGTTCAGATCAACTACAGAAGCAGATAACATTATAAGGAAATACTGAGATACCCCGTAATTGCTGTTGGCCAATGTCTGTAGCATCTGTTGTACAAACTGCTGCTGCTGCTGCTGCTGCTGCTGCTCTGTCACCGTGGCAACCCCTGGACCACTTCCTGATTGGCTGTTAAGAGCAGAGTCAGATCCTAGCTCAGGGGCAGCATCAACACTGGCTCCAATGTTTCCAAGTCCAGCCCTGCAAGACAGACACAAGGTGGTAACTCATGGAACAATATACAATTTCTTTAATGCACTTTGCATAAAAGTACTGCTTCTACCCAGAAACTAAACTATCGTGTGAGTAATCTACAGGTTGGAGTGTTTTATTTATGCTCACATAGGTATGAGCGCAGGAGCCTCTGAGGCCAGAGTCTGTAGGGCCTGTTGGATCTGAAGCAGAGCCTCCATGGCTCTGGGGTTCAACATGGCCGTCAGCAGCTCTGGACTCTGCATCTACATATTTATCATTGACCAGTAATAATAAAGATATTAATCACAAACAATAAGCACTGGGTGGAGTTTGAGCAGAGACTCTGTAGAGTTTGCTTTGGAAAACCAGTGGCCACATTTTACTGTAACTCAGCAACACGTCTGTGTGTTATCTAGTTGCAAGAAATGAGAGTGTTTAATAGTGAGGAGAGTAAACTAACCTGTTGCAGGAAGAGAGGGATCTGCTGTCTCATCTGCTGCTGCAGCTGAGGATTTCCTGAGAACAAAGGATGGCTCAGCAGCATCTGAAACAGGATGAAAATGAGAGCCATATGGCCGTCTGAGTGAGTAGGATTTGTGTAGAGAGATCGGGATATAAGAAGTGGGGTTGGGAGTAGATTGTAGGCTGGTTCCACACCTGTGCATTGCATGCTACATTATTTTTCTGGTATTTTATTAGATATAATATCTATATAGATATAAACTCACAGTGAGCATTGAGTACTTTTACTTTTGATATTTTAAGTACAATTTCCTGATGATACTTATGTACTTTTATTTAAGTATAATTTTCAAAGCAGGACTTGTAACAGAGTAGTTTTACAGTGTGGTATTAGTACTTTTACTTAAAGGATCTGAATACTTCCTCCACCGCTATGTATGCGTCACCTGTGCAGCCAGGTCAGGGTTCTGGCTGAGGCACTTCAGGAGACTGCTGACATACGGCCCGGACATCAGGCTCTCCATCAGTCCAGGACTGGCCATGATCTCCTCTAGCAGTGACTGCATGCCTGAGGAAAGAGGGAAGAAGCAGGGAGAAATATATATGTATAGATATAGTTAAGCCGATTAAAATTGATGACCTGTTTTCTTAGATTGTTCAGGGGGAAATGGCAGTGAGTATGAACACCTTTAAAATGACTTAAAATACATCAAAGGACCATGATTACCTCAATATCCCATGTCACTCACTTATAGGAATTTATTTTTACTTTTTGTCTTAGTTAAATTGTGTGGGTCTGTAATTTCCTGCCTGCACTAATGGTGCTCTGGCGGTTTGAATCAGCTCTGGGCGAGGCTGTCAGTTCTCTCAGAGGATCTGTGGTGGGACTGGAGAGGGGTGGAGTCTGCTCGCTTTCTTTTTCAGCCGGCTGCTGAGTCCCAGATGCTGTAGACACCATTGGTGCTACTCCTATCTGAATATGAAAGAGAGTACAGAAGACATGCCACAAACAGCAGATCAAAAACATTTTACATTGTGTTAACAGACTGTTCAGGAAAACATTTCCAAACCTGTTCCTGTGATAATTTTTGACTTTTTGTCTTCTGAAGGCCGTCAGAATCGACAGTGGTGGTTTCAGGGTTGTCCTGCTCTGGCAAATTGTTCAGTACTCTGTCTTCATTATTCATCACTTCTTCATCTTCCTCTTCCTCTTCTTCTTCTTCCTCTTTGTCGTTTTCTTCGTTTTCTTCTTCTTCTTCTTCTTCTTCTTCTTCTTCTTCGTCTTCTATCAAGTCAGGGTTCCTGATGAGTTCCAGCACCTAGAGATGGAAGCAAGAGCAAGAAGATACACACACACACACACACACACACACACACACCGAATCACAATTCCTTACTAATCTGTAGGCTACCTCCTCAAACACACACTCTTTATACCCACCTGTGTGATGACATCTGCATTGTTAAGTATATCTCCCACCTCTGGGTTTGTCTGCAGGAGCTGCTGAATTTGAGGATTAGACAGAATGAGCTGCCTGGTCAGTTGAGGACTGGAGGTGGAGAGGGTGCTCTGCACCAAAGGGCTACCCAGGACACGGCGCATCATCTCCGGGTCAGCCAGCAGCTGGCTCTCCATCTGCTGCTGCAGCGCGGGGAAGAAGCCTGGCCCGCTGTTTGTCAGGCCAAGACTGTCCAGACCTTCCACTATGGAAACAAGATCAGATCAAAAGAACAAGAGCATGTAAGGCAATATAGAGAGGATGGAAACTACTGTAACTGAAACATACATACAACATATACTTATGGCTGATCGGTGTAGATGAAATGCAAATGTGATGTGAGAAAAAGCAGAAGATAATTGGAGGTGAGAGGAGTTCTTACCCAGGCAGAAGGGAGAGGTGGGAGACGGTGTGAAGTTGTCAGGTTCAGGACTGGGAACGACTGTGAGCTCTGACTGGGCCATTTCTGGAGCTGGGTCACTGGTGGGAACAGTAGACGAAGAAGGACGGACTAAATCTGAATCTAACGTTCCAGTACTGCTGAACACATGTAGGCATGTTTAATTAGCCCATTATGTAAAACTATTGCTGAATTTAAAAGCATTAAGTATTAGAACATAACAGCCACAGTGCTTGGGAACTGAATAAGTTGTTGACCTTGTTGACCTCTAACATTTTTTGTACCCAAGTGAGCTTTAAATTCTGATTCATACCAAGAGATATAAACTTAATTTCATTGTGGTAGTGCAAGTCTTTTACTGTCTCACAGGTCTTACTAGACCAACAATAACAAAACAATATGGTGCAGTTCTATATTTAGCAGTGATGCATTTTCTACCTTACAGTGATGCTGCACATTTACTGTCTTCCTATATGATTTTTAGATTCAGATGATTCAGATATAAATGCTCCTGGTTTACCAACATTGTGCACAAAAATAACATGTGACCAGAGGTGGACTTAAGAACATAAGAGATACTTTTACATCTAGATGCTTTATTTTATACTTCTACTTCTCTACATCTCTGGGGCAAATATTGTACTTTTTACTTTAGTTACTGACAACTTTAGTTACTTTTCTGACATTTTTACATACCCTTTCTGTCCAGTGAAAACCTTTTATCTACAAAGTTGCTGATTTTTAATCTATATATATATATGTGTATGTGATAAATTTGAAGGATTTAGTTTCACTTTATTGACTGAAAAACTTTGCCCACTTCTTCAGATAAATAATTTATTAATAAAAACTTGATAAATTAGCTGGAAAATGCATTGTCACTGAAGGACTGGACTGTTTTCTTCTAGTCACAGGACAGTGACTCTACACACATATTATGACTTTATGTAATATGATGCATTGCTGAAGAATAAACTACTCAACAGCATAAAGTTGTTAAAATAAAAACAACCTTGAACCTCTACTACACATTATTGCAGCGGTACTAACAGTCAAAAACATTATATATAAAAGTAAAACACTGACCGGAACCATTTTACTGTATTATTCTACTGATAATACATACTTTTACATAAATAAGGAGTCCTCACAGTTGCCCTTGATACCCACATGCTCTGTGTGGAATACTATTTAAAGGTACAAAATGTACATTATGGTAAATTAGCATACATTATCTCTAGTGTGTGACCCCCATATTTACAGTGTAGTTAGAGAGTAGTTACTTAGTTACAATATGTACTGGGTAATGATGAGCCAGCAGACACATGGACAGTGCACATGCAAAGGTTGACCTCAGTACAGAAATACAGAACAGCAGAGAATTACTCAGCATTTTGATGTGTAGCCACTTTCAGTATCACAAGTAATAGATGTTGGAGTCTGTTTCCTTAACTAATAATGCTCACTAATAATGATTTCATCCTTATTATCTCCATACCTCAGAAGACTAGTATACTGCTTTATATTAAGCCATATTGATATGTGCATGTAACAGAATATCCTCTGAAGATTATTTGGTGTTTGACAGAAACACAGAAAGTTGAGCTCATAAGAGAAACAAAAGTAAAAGATGTTCCACTCGATCCCTGTTTCTACCCTCTCCTCCCAGCACATCTTTGGATCTGTACCTTTGGATCATGCAGAGGCTGACTGAGCCATCTTGTGCTTTAAGGTGACTCAGGAGTTCTGACTCTCTGAGGACCCGGCCGGAGTGGATCAGGACCAGCCGCTCTGCCGGGACTCCTATGCGCTCTGCAAGACCCCATTTCAGCTGCACACAAACACACAAACACACACAGCCAAACATCACATCTGATCAGGTTTTCAAAAACATTAGACACTTCTTTGCGCCCTATTTATTCCGCACATAGAACCAATCAGAGGAGTTTACACCCCAAAAATAAGTGCGTTTGGTCTCCTGACCTGCCTGACGCTGCAGCCTCCTCTCACGGTCAAGTCTTTGCTCTCCGTGAGACTTTTGACGGCAACGTGGATCGTTTCGGACTTCCGACGATCACTCATGGCTTTCGGTTCATCTTTCACCGGGCCTGACATCTCATCGGTGTCCGGGCTGAGGATGGAGATGAGCGGACCCGGAGAGAGAGAGGAGCGCGCAGTGGCGGGCCGGAGGTGCGCGTCTGTGCCGATGACTCGGCAGAAAGTTGTGTTGATGTGCGCCAGCTCCAACCCGACTGCGCAGGGTGGTGCAGATACAGTCCTCCAGCCTTATGAATTACCCTTTACTTACCCCAGTTCTTTACATGGGTGCCACTGCGAGCAGTCTGATTAAATCATTTCATCCCCAAGAATTATATAACTGGAGTTAATTTAAAGATATAGTACAACAAAAAACATCTGTAATAAATTCAGCAGTTCTGATATTTGCTCTGAATTATTTCACTTTTTTTTAAAAAATGCTCTCACAGCCTCAAAAATATGCAAATATCTCCAAAGTTTCTGCACTATGCGTCCAAAACTCAAATATTATAATTTCCCAACTCAAAAGCTCTTGCAATTTAATTATGCTGCACAAGCTGTGGAAGTAAGGGTTGAACTTTAACATGTGATAATATAAAATTATTAGTTTCCCATCACAAGATTATGAAGGTTAGGACTGTGTATTAAAGAGCCAGTTACAACTCTTTTACTCTCTCTTCTTGAAACATACTTTTATCAGAGATGTATTCTGATTTTACACCAGTTTTTATTTTTTCTTTCATAACTGGAATTGTTTTTTATCTATTATATCATAAAATCTAATTATGCTATTCTCAACACCATAATTATCTAATTATTTTATATAACTATTATTTCTTCATTCATGACAATACACACAAAAAAAATCAAGCTTTTTTTCACTGAAAAAGTATTTTATTTGATTATTTACTTAACAGTGAGAAAGAAAAAACAAACAAACCCATACATTTTACATCTGTCATTTTGGCATCATTACCCAGACAGATCAGGCAAACAGCCTGCAGCAGTACTATAGATGCAGTGGCACGCTTGTGCCTGCAGAGGGCAGCACCGTGTGCCAAGCAACCATTTCAACACAAATTTTAAACGTAGTCAGTCACTTTAAAAAGCTTCAGTGACTCTTGTTCAATGGTCTAATACATCCTGCAATGCCTGGAGTGTATTGTGTGTGTGTGTGTG